TCGGCTCACTGCAACCTCCACCTCCCAGGTTCAAGTGATTCTGCTGCCTCAGCCTCCTTAGTAGCTGGGATTACAGGCGTGCACCACCACGCCCAGCTAATTTTTGTATTTTTAGTAGAGATGGGGTTTCAGCATGTTAGTCAGGCAGGTCTTGAACTCCTGACCTCATGATCCACCCGCCTCAGCCTCCCAAAGTCCTGGGATTACAGGCGTGAGCCACTGCGCCCAGCCAGACGTGGCACATTTGGAGTCAGAAGCAGGCTCTGCGTAAGACCCAGGCTCAAATCGGGGCTCTGCCTTTTTCTCATAGAGTGATGTTAGCTCTCTGTGCCTCAGTTTCCTCATCTGTACCAGGAGAACAATGCTAACACCTGCCCTGTCAGGTTGTTACGAGGACCAGCTGAGAGACTGTGTGTGTTATACTCATCGCAGTGCCTGAGACAGAGTAATCATTCAGTAAATGGTGGCTGCCATCACTAGTATTATTACATCCTATTACTTTTGTTAATTCCTCTCTCCAGTGATGGGAATTTTGTTTCTTTTCTCATTTATTTATTTATTTTAGAGACAGGGTCTTGCTCTGACACTGAGGCTGGAGTGCAGTGGTGTGGTCATAGTTCACTGCAGCCTCAACTTTCTGGACTCAAGTGATCCTCCTCAGCCTCCTGAGTGGCTGGAACTACAGCTGTGAACCACCACACCTGGCTAATTTTTATATTGTTTGTAGAGACAGGGGTCTTTCTATGTTGCCCAGGCTGGTCTCGAACTCCTAGGCTTAAGCTGTCCTCTTGCTTTGGCCTCTCAAGGTGCTTGGATTCCAGGCGTGTGTTGGGAATTTCATTTTGGTCCTTCCGCTCATCCGTATCTTTGTAATACTCCCAAGTGACTGAGAGTACCTGTTGTTCTTGCCCTCAGGCCAAGGTGGAAGGGGATGTTGAGCCAAGACCCCCCCCACCCAGCCCATCAGCATATCTGCCCCATGTTCTGGGGTCTTCCAGGCTGGAGTCTCTGACTCCAGAATGGGGCTCATGAGTGCAGAGGATGTAATACTAATAAGAATTAGGCTGGGCTTGGTGGCTCACGGCTGTAATCCCAGCACTTTGGGAGGCTGAGGTGGGCAGATCACCAGAGGTCGGGAGTTCGAGACCAGCCTGACCAACACGGAGAAAACCCGTCTCAACTAAATATACAAAATTAGCCAGGCACAATGGCGCATGCCTGTAATCCCAGCTACTTGGGAGGCTGAGGCATAAGAATCACTTGAACCTGGGGGGCGGAGGTTGCGGTGAGCGGAGATGGCGCCATTGCATTCTAGCCTGGGCAACAAGAGCGAAACTCCATCTCAAAAAAAAAAAAAAAAAAGAATGGTGACAAGCTCCAGCACTTACTGAGGGCTTATTTTGTGCCAGGAACTTGGGAGTGCCAGCCAGCAGCCCAGCAGGAGGTTATGGGTACCACTGCCCCCTGCTGCTCAGATCCTGCTTGGTGCCAGCTTCTCAGACCTTCTCTGGCTGGCTGGGCACCCCTGGGTCATGGATCTCTGCCAAGTGGGGAGTGCTGGGAGAGCAGAGCTCACCGAAGGTCTACCCTGCCTAGCTGTGCACACCGACATGGGCCTCTGCAGAAAGAACCCAGTGGGCCCCACCAGCCCCTGAGCCCCAGGACCCTGGCACTCACTGTGCCTTGGTTACGGGGTGAATAATTTAGGCCGCTGAGTGTTGGTCATAAAACATTAAACAGCCTGTTCCTGATGCACCAGCATGTGAGTGTGCGTGGGGGTGACACTGGCACTGGGCTGTGGAGGCTGGCGGCCACAAGCCAGCATATTTCTGAAGATAACTACGTGGCTGAGTCTTCTGTCTCCCTCATCTGTGTTGACGGGACCCCCTCTGGACCACCAGGCATGGTGCCTGCTCTCTGCATCGCCATGAAGTGCCAGGCCCAGCATCAGCCCCAGCAAATGGCAGCACTGTGTCTAGGGAGTGTGGGGGGAGGAGAAATCAGTGAGTGGGGGTCCGTGGGGGGCTGCAGACAGCCTTGGGGTCTCAGGAATCAGGGAAGTGGACACAGAACCAGGACTTTGGGGACAGGGAGATGCTGGCCCGGAGGGTCTCGGGATGTGTGTGAGAGGGAGGGAAAGGGCACACATGATGGGGAGTAGAAGAGGGCTAAGTCATGTTGGGAAGAGGGTGGATGGGCAAAGGAGGGGTGGCCTGGTGGACATTGACAGGCAGGGAACAAGTGGATGAGAGGTTGAATGGGTGAGCGAGGGGTGGATGCAGGGTGGAGCATGTGGTTGATCTGGGGACTGACAGACTGGGGGAGGGAGATGGGGAGGATGTGAATGTGGGGCTGAGGGCCCCACAGGGTCGAGTGGCTCTTGCCCCAAGCCTGTCATACAGTGGGTATCTTTACAATACTGAACGCTGCTACCTGGGCCATGGGTTCTTGTCCTGGTATAACTGTTTTCCCTTAAATCATGCTCTGCACCGTGTCTGCTCTAGACAGTCCTTCGACTATAAGCTGCTTATTCCTTAATTCATGCTCTGTACTGCGTCTACTATAGGCATTCCTCCGATTATGAACTAAGATATAGTTTTATATATATGTATATGGAAATAACTGAATGATAAGATATTCTTTAGGCACTCATTCTATGAACTAACATGATTATATAGAGAGGATTATATAAAGGGAAGTAACTAAGTAGTAACACTATAAACTGAGATATTCTCCAAGCCCTAATTCTATAAACTGAGATATCTCACACTATAAACTGAGATATTCTTCAGGCCTTAATTGTGCTAGGATTCTGCTTAGCTGTCCTCCCTCGGTACCTATATGGGGGTTACCCACATGTGAAGTTCAGTGAAGAATTGCACCTCCTGGGCACAAAACGTGGCACCCTCCCCCCACCCCCCCATATAGGTCTGGGGGTGGTATGTTGTGGCTCCACCTAGTGTTCCCTAGTGGTAACTGCACCCTGGGCTGTTCACATCCAGCAGTGCAGCAGCCAGGACAGCTCTCCTGTTTGCAGTTAGGCTCCCTCTGGGCTGGGAGAGCAAGGATAAGGGACAGTGATATCCAGAAGCTAGGCCCTAGAAGAAGCCCCTGAGACACATTCCATCTCTTCACTCCCTGCATACCCATATTGTTGGCCAGGCCCTGCATCGCACAGACAGATGTGTGTTCAAATGCCATTTACCAGCTGTGTGACCAAGGAGAGAGCTGAGTCTGTGCCTGCCGTGGGACTATGGGGAATAGCACAGAGTCCGGGCCTTCCAGTCCCACCTGTGAGCCTCCCCAGCTGCAGCTGCAGCATTAATTGAATTCTGATTCTGGCAGTGCCCTGCCCGGTGCCTTACAGATGTCATCTGTTGATGGTCACAGTAAATTAATAAAAATAGTTGATGGCTGAGTGCGGTGGCTCACACCTGTAATTCCAGTACTTTGGGAGGCCTGATCACTTGAGCTCAGGAGTTTGAGACCAGCCTGGGAAAAACCCCATCTCTACTAAAAATACAAAAATTAGCTGGGCCTGGTGGCACATGCCTGTAGTCCCAGCTACTCAGAAGGCTGAGGCAGGAGAATCGTTTCAACCTGGAAGGCGGAGGCTGCAGTGAGCCAAGATTGCACCACTGCAATCCAGCCTGGACAACAGAGCAAGACCCTGTCTCAGAAAAAAA